TGGAAGGAAACAAACAAAAATTACCAAAATCGTAGATAATAGCCAATCAAAATCACGAATTTTTAAGTAGTCATAATTAATTGTTATTGGGTTGAATGAATGGTAATAGACAAAAATATGAATTATAGTGCATGGAATTGTGAAATATTAAAGTTCGCATAATTAATTACTATTGGATCGAAACAAACAATAGTGGACAAAACCATGGACTAGCCTATGAAGTTCATGAATTTTGAAGTGCACATATTTTTTTGCCATGGGTCAAAAAATAAAAATTGTCAAAAATTATGGGTTATAGCCCATGAAAATCATGATTTTTTATGAAAGAAAATTCAATAGTCATTGGTCGAAACTAGGGGTGGGCAAAAACCGAAAAAAACTGGTTGAACCGAAAAAACCGCCCGAAAAAACGGATCGGTTAACCGAACCGAATTAAATGGATGAGAAGAAGTCTCTAAACCGCCCGAACCGAATTAAACCGGTCCGGATCCGGTTTGGACCCCTAAACCGCCCAAAAAAAACCGACCCGATTTCTACTATAAATACTTAAAATCCCTAACCGGCTAACCCTAACCCTACCTCAGACTGAGAGACTCGACTCCCACAACACAGCCGCCTCTCCCCTCTCGCCTCTCAAGCCGCCTCTCGCCTCTCACAACGCCTCAAGCCGCCTCTCGCCTCTCACAACGCCGCCTCTCCCCTCTCGCCTCTCAGGCTCTCACAATACCGCTCCTCCTTTCGTTACGAGCGGAGGCTTCTTCGGATCGCGATTCTTGTTGTTCGGGGAGTTACACCCCAGGGGGATCTGTCAGAGTGAGAGCGTCTCCTCCTCTTAATTCTTCTTCGCCTTTGCCTCCTCGGCGCCGTCTTCGATCTCAGGGTTAGTTTCTTCGTCCACCAAACGAAAACCTAATTTTTGTATGAATACACATCTCTTTGGATTTTGAGGCATTTAAAACTTTGTGATTGTTTAATTGGCAAATGCGTCAACCACAGTAATTGGAAAAAACGAAACAAACCAATCCGTGTTTGATTTGTTTTTTTAACTTTGTTAACTTTGTCATGAACCTAATCTTGTAATCCATGTTTGATTTGTTTTTCAGGTGATGGATTCGGGTCAAACCAATCCGTCCTCAAGCCATGGAACTGGAACAGGATCTGGGACGACTCCTACACATGCTGCCATGGTTCAACACATCACTGAAACTCCCCTTGGTGCTGCTGCGTCAGTTTCGACTGCAACTCTGGGCCAATCTTCCTCTGTTCAATCGAAGAGGAAGAACGGAAGCATTGCTTGGGATCATTTCACATTGATGAAGAATCCCGATGGCACAACTTTGGCCAAGCCGAGAGCAAAGTGCAATTGGTGTCCGCAAACCTATAGTTGTGATTCAAGATTGAACGGAACAAGCAACATGAGGAGCCACCTGCTTTACAATTGCCCGAAGTGTCCACTTAAGGTCCCCAAGAAACAGAAGCACCTGGTAAATTCTATTCTCTCACTTTCTGCATTTTCAAATTCAGTTTGTACTATTGAGTGGTTGAGTTATTGATTCAAGATTTCTTCTTCATTTCAAGGCGCAAGAGTCATTCGACAAGGGGGGTAGGTTAGTTGCTTGGTCTTATGATGAGGAGGTATGTAGGTTAGCTCTTGCTAGGATGATAGTTAGGGATGAACTGCCTTTTAGTTTTGTTGACGGACCTGGGTTTAGGGATTTTTTAAGTCATGTTCAACCACAGTTTAAGAAGTTTTCACGTAGAACTGTTGCTAGAGATATTTGGGAGTTGTATGAGTCGGAGAGGATTACAATCAAAAATATCTTAGCCACTTATGGACAAAGAGTTTCACTGACCACTGATACTTGGACTTCGATCCAAAATATCAATTACATGGTGCTCACAGCTCACTTTATTGATGATGATTGGATTTTACACAAAAGAATCTTGAACTTTTGTGTGATACCAAACCATATGGGGAAGACTATTGGGCAGCTAGTTGAAACTTGTCTTATTAAGTGGGGAATAGAGAAAATTTTCTGCATTGTTGTTGATAATGCTTCTCCTAATCAAGTGGCTTTAGATTACATGAAAGAGAAGATAGGGAATTGGAATGAACTAGTCCTAAAAGGGGAGTTTCTGCATATGAGGTGTTGCTGTCACATTCTTAACTTAGTGGTTAAGGATGGAATGGCAGAGCTGGACTCCTCGATTGAGTCCATTAGAAATTGTGTGAAGTACATTAGATCAAGTCCTTCTAGGTTGGAGAAGTTTAGAAAGTGTGCAACTCAAGAAAAAGTGGAGCACAAAGGTGGGATAGTGCCTTTGGATGTTTGCACTAGGTGGAACTCTACATACTTAATGTTAGACATAGCCATTAAGTACCGGAAGGCATTTCTTAGGTTGGAGGATGAGGATCCACAATTTGTTGCATACTTCATCGACAAATATTGGGGGAAGGTTGAAAACATCAACAAAATTCTTCTCATTGCAGTTGTTCTAGATCCAAGGTATTGCACTATTGTTTACTGATAAATTGAATCACAATCATTTATGATGCTATTTTACACCTCCATGATGAGAACATATATTCACAATGGAGCTGTTAGAATTTATGGGTTTGTTATTTTAGCTTGTAATGGACTCAAGGGGATGAATGGATCCAGCTCCTCATAGCTTGCACAAAGAGCTTATATGTGCAATGCACTATCTTTGATACTGTTCTATACTTAAATTGATAATTTGCCGTAAAAGTTGACACAGATGATAACTAAGTTATGGTGTATCCTTATGTTGCTATTTGATACTGTTCATATTTCTTAAGAGTTCCTGAGACTTGAAAAGCTATCAAAGGACTAGTAAAGGGCCAGATGTTGCTATTTGATTTTGACCCGAGAGAGGCCCATCACCAAATTCTAAAAAGATGTAATTGATTATTATCTTCAAAGGACTAGTAAAGGGCCAGACATTGACGCTGGTTGACGCACATAGAAACTATTAACTAGAGAAATGCAATAGGCCAATACCATTGGGTGTTTTCTTCAAGAACAGGTGCTAATAAACTTAGTTCTGCATTCTAAATAACTTGGAATCTTTTGTTATTGAATTTAAACTGTAAAATATTATGTGAAGCTTGCATCAAATATTTACTAGATTATCTTATTTAATAGCTTTGTATCATCAGCATCAAGAAATGTGGACTACGACTACCTGGGGGTTATATACATGACTACAGGAGTGGCTTATCCTTTTTGTACTTGTATTTATTACAATTTCTTTACTACTTTTCTTATTGCATCTGTTGGTAGTGTTATTCTGTTTACATATTTTTATTATGTTTTGTTTTCAGGTACAAGTTTCTGTACTTGGATTTCTTTTTCCCCAAATTGAAGATAGACAAGAAGCTAGCGGAGGTGTTGGTGATTAATGTGAAGAGCACCTTGCAGGAGCTCTTCAATGAGTATGCAGCTAATGATCCTGATGCTGCCCTTGCTTCTTATAATTCAACTCAGCCAATGTCAGCCACAAGTGGAATAGTTGATGAGGAGGACAGCCATTCTGCAACTGTGAATGAGTTTGTAAAGCTTCGGCAGGAGAAAGATGTGGTGGAGATAAAGACTGAGGTTGACAAGTATATGGTGGAGGCATCTGAGGACCCTAGAAACCCTAACTTTCAACTGTTAGGTTGGTGGAAAGAGAATTCAGCTAGGTTCCCAATCTTGTCTCAAATTGCAAGAGATATTTTTGCAGTGCCTGCCTCAACAGTAGCATCTGAAAGTGCTTTTAGCCTTGGATCAAGGATTCTGGATCCATTTCGTGCAAGTCTGACCCCAAAAATGGTTGAGGCTTTGGTATGTACTAGTGACTGGTTGAGAGACACTAGCAAGCCAATGTTTAAGCCAGTGTTTATTGAGCCTATCAAGACTGAAATGGAGCAGTATTCTGAGTTGGAAAAGCTCACATCAGGTAGCTATTTTGTTTTGCTTTTGAATTTATATATCTCTGTTGTTTTGTAAGTATGGTTTTTAAAGGTTATTTCTCTTGTTTTTGTAGAATCTGTTGTCACGGATGCTTCAGCCTCATCATCACAGACCATGTAGAATTTGCCGAAGTGGGGATTTGCTGTTGCTTGTTTATAATTTTAATGTACTGAACTTAAGAACTTAAGTAGGTGTTCATTTAATTATTTCTGGATTATTTGCATGGTTTGTAACTAAGTAACTCTTTAATGAGTTTATTATTGTGGTATGATATGTACTTGTTGATATGGTTTGTGCTCATTTTACTTATTTTAGTTTTGATTTGATGGATAATTGAATATAATTGAAACTTGCCCAGATTTTTGTGAAATGAAGTTAATTCGGTTTAAAACCGAAACCGAACCGAACCGAACCGAATTTCGGTTCGGCCGAATATTCGGATGAAGGGGAAAAAATCTGGATCTGGATAAGAGTTTTGAGAATCCGAAAAATTCGGATTGGATACGGATTAGGCTTAAAACCGAACCGAACCGAATATGCCCAGCCCTACTCACAACCATTCGGGGTTACACCGCAAATTATAGATTCCCATGCGTTTATTCGAAAACCTGACTCTAAATTGGACCATCTGCCTTTTGCAATTAACAAATTTGCCAAGCACGTATCCGCAAAAACACCCTTACTCTCCCCTTCCCACAAAACCCGGACAAATTTTCAAAACCAACCCATTTGATAAACTATTCCCAAAAAAAGACCCATTTCAGTTTTATTTGTAAAAACCGACCTGGTTTCAGCCTCAGCGCTGAAACCAGGTCGGTTTTTGAAAAAAAAATTCCGAAACTTCACGGGAGTTCAACTCCCGTGAAGTTTTGTTATGTGAAAAAACTTCACGGGAGTTGAACTCCCGTGAAGTTTCGTAAAGTTTTTTAGAAAAACCGACCTGGTTTCAGCGACAGTGCTGAAACCAGGTCGGTTTCTCTAAATAAATCCCAAATGGGTCGTTTTTTGCAATTAGTTTATCAAATGGGTTGCTTTTGAAAATTTGTCCAATCAAATCCTCTCTCTCTCTCTCTCTCTCTCTCTCTCTAACTTCTGAAGAGGAGACCTCAGCAGCTTTCTCCATTGAGGTACACCTCTCCTCTTATATTTCTTCAATTATCTGCTTAATTTTTCTCTTGGCTCTTCTACCGATTGACTCTTTTGCCGAATTTAAGATCTATTGTTTGTTCTTTGTGAAAAATTTGATGGGTCTTTGAATCTTACATGGGTTTTTGGTGGAATCTTTAGTTCTAGGGAAAAGTTTGGTTTTACTGAAGAGTGTCGGGGAGGAAGATTTGAACTTTAAATGGAACTTTGGGGACCGCGGCGCCCGCAACGCGGCCCTCTCAATCTTCGCAGGAGGCGAAGTTTCAGTAGTCCAAACCCTAACCCCTCTTTTTAACCTTATGGGTAAAGTCAACTACATGGGTGGCCCCGGATCGGGGCAGCAAGCGAAATTGGGGAATCAGATCGCCATTGCATCGACGATGGTGGGTTTGATTGAAGGGATGATTTATGCACATAAGGCTGGATTGGATGTTGGTCAATGGATGGAGGCGATATCGAAGGGGGCTGCGGGGTCGAAAAGTTTGGAGCTTTATGGGAAGAGGATATTGGAGAGGGACATGGAGCCCGGGTTTTATGTGAGGCACTTTGTTAAGGATTTGGGGATCTGTTTGAAGGAGTGTGAGAGGATGGGGTTGGCTTTGCCAGGGTTGGCGCTGGCTCAGCAGCTTCACGTTTCGTTGATGGCGCATGGAGAAGGGGGCCTTGGGACGCAGGCGTTGGTTTTGGCATTTGAGAGGATGAATAATGTTTGCTTGAAGAAGAGCGAGGGGTAAACGGGGTGCGATCGAAATTTTATGGTGGTTTGTGATCTCTCTTGCTTGATTTCGTATGTTGTTGTATGGTTGATCTGTGTGTTGATTGATGTATGTTTGAACTCTCTTATTTTGCAAATAAGATGACTAGACTCTCTTTTATGTATCAATGCTATGTATTGGCATCTTAGTTCCAGTGAACTTTTGGTTCAAGTTGTGAAAATGTCAAAATGTTTGGTTTCCTTGGTAGAGAAACATTGATGACTGGTGGTATTTAGTACACTAGCCTTAGGCAATATTTTCATTATCTTGGATTAGAACTTCGACAGGTGCAAATGCACGTGCTATAAAAACATTTTATTTTTGCATCAATAAATTTATACGAAGATAATTTCATCTTTTTATAAGGAGTGTGCATTTAACTCTTTAAACCTAAAATCCTCCATTGATTTCCTTTATGCATTAGTATAAATAAATCATGTGAAGAAAACATTCAATTATGTGGGCTTTTTTTGTCTTATGACATTAAATAAGATATAGAATATTCTAGAAGCAAAAAGAAAAGAAAAGAGAAAACATCAGTTATTGAAAATCACATTTTTAGCCATTCAATTACAATTGAAAATGAGGACTTATCCACCACTCATCCAACTTTGTACTACCCTTAGTTGGGTTTTTATACAGGAATATAGATAGATACAGTTGTATATTTCTATTCCTTGAATATTCTTGATCACAGGCTTGATCTTTGAAGAGAATGTTCTACTCTTGTTGCTTGACTTCGTCCATGGATACTTGGATTTAGGCACTACAGCACAATGTTTCCACAAACAAGAATTTAATAATATGGTCTAAAATAACGTAAGTTCCACAAGTTCCCACATGGAATTGGTTGTTCATTGTCCACACTTTAAACATAGAGGGGAGGACCTTTGCTTTGTTTTCAATAGGAAAAATGAATTTTCTTAAGAATTGTTATAATAGCTGCCTTATTGCAGTAAAATTCACTGACTCCTCCCCTCATTAGCTTGTTCTTACAGTTAGTTGACTAGTTGTGATTATCACTAGGTTTTTTTGACCCATATTTGGTTATGATGTCTCGTAATTTTCTGGAGGCTGTTGATATTTATCTATAAATCAAACTGGATTTGCTTCGACCTGCTGCAATATGGGTTTAAGGCCTTTCTAGTTTTGTCTGGTCCTCTATGCAGTATATATTTGTCAATATCAAATCCTTCGCCCCGGTAAAGCTCCCTTGGAATAGGCTAGCCTGAATTGATAGGGGGGACATAAAATGAAAAGAGAATTTGGCATTTCGTCCAAGAAGTATCTACTTTATAGTTAGTATCAAGAAAATAAGAGATGCTGGTTTGCTCTTTCTTTTTTCATTTTAAATGAATTCTATGGTTGTTACCTGGAAGGCCTGTGAACATCATTGCTGGTTTGCTCTTTTTCTGGCTTTGCAGTCTAAACTACACTACCTGAATAGATGTTCTAGTTTTTTGGGGAGTATTTTACTACAAATTACACCGTTGCACTTCATGGATGTCCAATTGGACCATGGCGACTTCTGATGACAATCAAGTGTGATCGTGATTTGCTGAAGAATTAAAGTTCATACATATCCACAGCACTTGATATTTAAGCCACATCACAGTATATGAAAGAATAATCCTCATATGTCATATGATACTATACTACACAGACAACCCTAAGTTGTTTGACAAGACTTATTTTTGCATTTTAAAATAGCTTACGCTTGTAAATCTAAAAATAGGAATATATTTGAGAACTAATAAGCTGTTTTGCAGTTCAACATGGGAAATGGACAGTAATCAGAAAATAAAGAAAAATGTATATAGTGATATTATGAGCTCTTTTCTAACGTGATATATATAGATTTGGCATATCAAAAGTATAATTACAACCTAGTTAAAAAAACATATTATTATAGATTTCTATTATTTACTAAACCGTGCCGATTGTTAGCTATGCAAAAGATTAGTTTATCCAACCAACTAGCCTGTTGAAATTGGTAAGCTATTTTACTGAAGCAGGAGTATCCATTAGTTCAAGGCTTGAGACTGCTAATAAGAGTAGGGATTTTCTATCCCCAGAGCTTACACCGAAAAAAGAAGAAGATTAATACTTAAATATGTATAAGTTTGTTTGGGTAAAAGATTGAAAATACCCACATGTCCCTATAAGGAAATACGTTAAACAATTACCTTTTCCCCCTAAGCTTATTATCTTTTAGGGAAATATGTTTAAAAACTCCCATATTTGTTAATCCTCAAAAGATAATGACATGAAACTATGTCCCTAGAAAATCAGAGCTCAATGTAAATATACAAGATAATATAGTACCTGTGCTCAGCTACCTAGAAATATGGAGTTACTTACATACATCCACTTTATAACAGTTATTGATATATTAATTATGTATAAGCATTCTTTTAACCAGCAGTGCATATCGCTAAACTCTGTGTCTCTGTTATTTGAAGAACTTCGAAAAATGATTCGAGTGGTAGGCATGCATTTAAAGGACCAAGTTTTTTGTTCATGCATCAGTTTTTCACCTAAATCACCTTCTTTAGGAAAGTAAATCAATGTGAATTGTTTTGTTGGTTGAATTTAGGTAGGGTTCTCTTTATGTGCACTACTAACAGCTAATAGCAAGATATCCCTATAAGGAAGAATATCTGCTGCTATGCCTGTGAATAAATCTAGATATCATGCCATTTCAGCATCCAGATCTTTATATAAGCAGCTTCCTTTCTTCTTAGAATCCCAAGCCTCTTTTAAAGTGGAAGGCTCTGTTGATTTCCCACTGCAGAGATGATAAGGTAATTAAAGTGGTGGAGATGAGATCCAGAATAACCATATTTACATCCCACCTTAGGTGTGGGTGGTATGGGATCGAAGCTGAAATCAGTAAGTAAGCATTCACTAAAATATTTCAGTTTTCAGCACTGCTAGGCTATATGAATGTCTGTTTAAATAGGACTCCAAAAGACAGAATTTAGGCATGGATGGAATATATGTATTTTATTAGCTATTTATTATATGTGTGCCCTCACTTTTAATGCGCATAAGATCTGCTATCGGTTTTATTCTTATTGTAGATGAATGATTATACATATGTGACATTTTGATATGGTTTTATTTTGCTCATTTACTGGTCAAATGGGAGGATCTGCACGAGATAACGTCTGGATATGTAGTGTAAATTTTTTCGATGCCACTATACATTTTGTTAATAGGAGCTATCTCACCCATTTGCCGGCAGATAGTACTCTTTCAGAAAATATAGGAGAAAAAACATGTACATTTGTAAAAAAGGGATTCAATTGATGAAGAGAAATTAGAATTCTTTATGATGGTTTGGACATGTAACAGGAAGATCAAAGAGTATACTTATGGGAGAAATCATTAGATTCAAGTTGAAGAACTGCTAAGAGTAGGGTGGGTCAAAACATATCTGGATTGACGCTGTAAATGGACACACGCAGGTGCTAATTTCGCAGGATAACTCCTTTTTGCCTTGTTGGGTAGAATGGAACGAAAAATTAATCATGTACACAACATTTTGACAACGAGCCGAAGACTGTTTCATTGTCGTGGTTTTAATTGTGTTTTTTTACTATGTGGGAATAGATAATACAGTGCAGAGCTCTATGAGAAGGTTTTGTTGCCAAGTTTTCTTATAGAGGAATAATCAGGATCATTCAATAGTATGCAGCAATTTGCCTTGCGATTTTTCTATCGCTGGCGGTGATGCAAGATATGAGATGACAGATTGACCTGCATAAACTAGAATTTCCTCTCTAGACAATAGCAACGGTAGTTAAAAAGATGATTTAACTGTCAAACATCGTCACACCAAATTCTTCTCCAATTTCAGGAGGCCATCAGGTACTGGTGCAACTTTAGACCATTGTTCCAAGGGTGGAGCTCCCTGATCATCAAAAACATTAAGAAGAAACTGAACGTACTTTATAGCTGTAACAGAAACTTCATAGTGGTTACAATGATGGTTGGTGCATGGTTCTGTATTCTTCAGGTGCCCTATATCATTCTCACTGACTCCTTTCTATGTTTAAGTTATCACATGTATTGTGGGTCGTTGAGTGGATTTAAGATCTGGTATATTTCTGTATTGATATGTGGTTATGGTTTTTTTCCCCAATCCTATTATACTTTATATGCACTCACATAAAGAGACTTATCGGTATCATTATGAAGGGATTCTCTTATATATAAACAACATGGCTAAAACTCATCCAAATGAATAAAGAGGTTCTTTCATTATTACTTAACTCAATCCACAACACCTGACTAAAATTTAGCTACTTTACTATATATAAGAGAATCCCCTCATATCTCATACGACATGAGTACACACACACCCCAAATTGATTGACAAGACTTGTTTCCACATTTTGAAATGGCTCATATGCTTGTATATCCTAAAAAAAGCTATGCAAAAAATTACTTTAAGCTCCACACTCCCACTTGGCAAACTGCTCTGATACCATTTGTCACATCTGGGCCAGCGAGCCCGTTGGTGTGTTGCAAGCCAATGGATCCACTGAGTGTAGCGCGTTGTTTGGCTCAAACCACTGCCAAAATCGACTAGCCGATGCTACACTTGAACCCCATGACCTACATTATAAACTCGCTTAACTGTTAGTCATCACTCGATGTGGGGCTATAATTGGGGGCATCAGAAACTAGACTGGGGAAAGTCAGTCAGCCATTGTACTTTAACATGAGTAGAGATTTCCTATCCCAAAGGAAGATTACACTGAAAAAAGAAGAAGATTTATACTTAAACTTGTTTAAGTTTGTTCGGGTAAAAGATTGAATAGTCCGACATCAATATTTAATCATGTATAAGTTTGTTTGGGTAAAAGATTGAGAATGCCCACATCAATGGATATACACGAAACAGTTACCTCCTTTTTTGTTTCCTCTTGGCAAATATTCATTGCTTTCAAGGGAATATGTTAAAACGAACTCTCATATTAGTTTATCCTCTAACAGCGATAGCATGAAACTGTGTTCCTAAAAAACAGAGCTCAATGTAACAATACAAGATAATACAGTAGCAGTCCTCAGCTAGCTAGAAATATGGAATTACTTATGTACATCCACTTTATAACAGTTATTGGTATATTAATTATGTGTAAACATTTTTCAACCTGCAGTGCATATCGCTAAACCATTTGTCACTGTTATTTCGAGAACTTCACAAATGATTCAAGTTGTTGGCTTGCACTTGAAGCTACCAAGATTTTTGTTCATGCATCAAGTTTTCATCTAAATAAATCACCTTATTTAGGAAAGTAAATCAATGCAAATTGTTCTGTTGGTTGAATTTAGGCAGGATTAACCTGAGGAGAGGAATCCTCTTGCTACTGAAGTTATACGAGGCCAGCTAGATTCATAAATATGTTCATTCCTTCCCCGTTGCATTCTCTCTTCACCTATTTCACAATGCACCAAATAATCATTAGATTTATTTATTTTTCAAATGCATGAATGGTTGCAAGAAGTTTGTAGCAAAAAAGGAAAGAGAAAACAAGTGCAAGAATGTGACCTAACCAAACTGCCAAGTTCTCTGTACATACATTGAAACAGCTAATTCCAATATCTCCTGCTATGGCTGGGAATAATTTCTAGATATCATGCCATTTCAGTGTGCAGGCCTTTATATAAGCAGACTCTCTTCCTCTCAGAACGCCAAACCTCTTTTCAAGTGAAAGGGTATGTTAATTCCCCACTGCAGGGATGACAAGGCCATTAAACTGGCGGAGTCTAGATGCTGCATAACCCTATGTACGTCCCACCTTAGGTGTAGATGCCATGGGTCTGAAGCTGCATTTGGTAAGTAAACATTCGCTAAAATATTTCAGTTTTCAGCATTGCTGGGTTGTATGAGTATCTGTTTAAATAGGATTTCAGAGACAAGGAATTCAGGCATGGATGGAATATATGTATATTGTACTTATTTGTTATATGCGTGCACACACATTTAATGTGTATAAGATTTGGTATCATTTCTGTTGTTATTGTTGATAAATGACTGTGCATGTATGACATTCTGATATGGTTATATTTTGTTCATTTACTGGTCAAATTGGACGATCTGCGTTAATGTAAATGTTTTTTTTATGCCATTGTACGGTATATTTGTGTAGTGTTTAAGATAAAATTCTTCAAGCGTTTGGGGCCTATCTTTTGGCTATACTGAATGATAATTCTCATATCCAGTTGAATTTAGGAAATCTTCCTTTTGTACATGCAATTTTTGTTTGTTGCTAACTATCTCAGTTTACTTTAAATTCTATTTGTAGAACCTTCAATCTGGCAAGGGGTACGTGACCATCATACCATGTATGACTGTTGTGTCATCTTGGGAAATGTGGTTGGATCAAAGCGATGGAGTTCTGTTTAGCATACTTTGCTGCTGCATCATTTTAGATTGCAAGAATCTCAGGTGAACTGCAAGGTATCCCTATAACACTTGATATACCTGTTCTTTCCTCTATATGATAAAAGTAGTACACAAACAAAAATTGTTCAAGGTTTCAAAGATAGTAAAAAAAGAGGAAACTGATGCTAGCTTTATCTAACAGCTAGCTGCTTTATTTCTCAGTTGATTTGCCATTTTGTTGGCCTGGCTACATCAGCGACTCCTCCCTTGCACATTTCGGTTCTCCTCAGTGGTACGGGTCCCAAAGCATCGTCATTCCCATATTCAAGAGTTGCATGGAGCTATGGCTTTACGTGAGGAATTTTGTTAAGATTTGGCATTTGTTTGAAGGAGTGAGAGGCTGAATAATGTTTGGTTGAAGAAGACAGAGGAATCGGGGTGAGATTCGAACTGTGGTGATATATGATATTTCGCTTAGTTTGGTATATGCTGATGTTGTATGGTATGGTTGATTTGTGTTGTTGATTAATGTATTGTTGAACTTGGTTAGTGGTATATTAGTAAATCAGAGACACATTCAGTAGGCTTTTGTTCTCTCTTCTATCAGTTCTATGTATCAATCCAATTGGCGTCTTAGTTCTGTTAAACTTTTGCTTCATGTTTCTGAACATGTCAAGATGTTTGGTTTACTTGATAGAGAAACATTGTTGACTGAGTAATAATTCATGCTTTAAACCTTGTCTTTGCATTAGCAATGTTGTCAATGTGTATCCCATCAGGAAATAATTCTTGTTTGATTTAGGACCTGCTTGTTATACTCTGTGGTATGCGATGAACTACCCTTGGGGCTATATGTTCATTATCTTTGATGCAGTTCTACTTTCTATTCCTTGAACATTTTAGATCACTAGCCTGATATTCGAAGAGGGCGCCCACCTCTTGCTGTTTACCTTCCTCCACGGAGATGTGCATTTTCACAACTTCTGGTAGAATTTTAGACTCTCTTTAGTTTCATGTATCAATGTCGCATTTTAGTTTCTGTTAAGAATTTTGCTTGAAGTTGTGAATATTTCATGCATTTTTGTTACTCTTTGTATTGGGATGATAACTGAGAATTGTTTATTGTTGTTTGGACATTTAACAAGGGGATCAAAGTCTACCTAGACTAGTTAATTGGATTCTAGTCAAAGAATCTGTTAGCTAGGAACGGGTTGCAGCAAAATAAATCTGGATTGTAGCTGTAAGAAGATATGTCATATAGGTGCTAATTTTGCAAATACAACTGAATGGAGGAAAATGTTTAATATATATGCAATCATGACCATATTGGAGAATGGCCATTTCATTTTCATTCCTATAACCGTTTTGTATTTGGAGATTAGTTGCTGAAGACCTTGAGTATCAGAAAGAATTTCGATGTGGATTGCAGGTGTGTGCCCCTATTCTCTTGTATTCTTTGCATCGCTTTTTCTGCTGTTAGCAGTCTTACAGAATAGCAGATAATCATTGTAATTATTGATCAATGACAAGCATGTCCGTATTAATGTGATTTTATAGTTAGGAGGAAACATTTTCAGGAATAGTAAAATTAAATTTGATTCCAAACTCGGAGAGATTGATATGGAAACCAACTTCTATAGTGTGGCTTCTTGATTGTTTTCCCCTTTCTTTTATCTTTCTCATGCAAGAAAATAGCTGGTCTAGGCTCCATGTTCTATGACCTTTCGCTGCTTGTTTCCATAGTACACTCTGTCTCCATAGTAAACTTCATTAAGCTGATCATGTGTTTGCCTTGGCAAAATGGAGTCATATTTTAATTTCTTGTATTGCGGTGATAATCATTTTTCAACCTACAGCTATCAGTTACTATATATGCATAGATAGTCATTGCTGTGATTATGCAGTGTGACGTAGAGAAACCCTTACAATGCTCTGTATACTATACAGGATATTATACAGCCATTCCGAAAACCTTATAGAAGATATGATTATGATTGGTGCATAGTTCTGCATTCTTTAAGTGCCCTGGTCATTCTCAGTGACTCTCTTTCTACGTTTCAATTTTCCATATGCATTATAAACCAGTTAGTGGATTCATATTCTGATATATTTCTGTATTGATAACTACTTATGTTTTTATGAAAGTATATTATACCTTTTAAATTATATTTACTAAATTGGTTAGGACTGTTTATTTGCACATTTGTGATGGACATTGCTCGTAAATCTGAAAACAGTAACAAATCTGAAAACCTATAAACAGTTTTGCGGTTCAATATGGGAAATGGACAGTTCTTTTCGAGAAAATGAATAAAAAAAGTAATGAAATTATTATAAGCTCTATTGACATGCACCTGCTGTCCTAGTCAAAATAGTACATAGTTATAGATTTCAATCATTTTGAGCAAAAGATTTATGATACCCATCCTCTTTTGATATACCGAAACCATTATTATTATTAAAATTATTATTATTATTGTTTTTTTAATTTTGCTAATCTTCATTGTTTTTAATTAGGGGAACATGGGAAAAGAATTTCCCATGTTTGTTAATTAATCTTCAAATTAAAGGTGATAACACGAAATTATTTTCCTAGAAAACCGGAGGTTAACGTAGACATGCAGGATACTGTAGTAGCAATGCTCAGCCAGCTAGAAAAATGGAATTACTTATGTTCAGGCCCTTTAATTTAGAACAGTTTCTGGATACTAATTATGCATAAATATTTCTTTTACCACCTGTGCCTGTTGTTAAAGCATTTGTTGTTGTTATTTTCAAGAACCTTGTAAAAAAGATTCAGCTTGTAGCCTGTAGGCATGAACTTAGAGCTTTCATTCATCAGTTTTAGGCCTAATCAACTTCCTTAGGAAAGTAAATTAATGCAAACTTTTTTGTTGGTTGCTTATAGGAGGGATCCCGACTAGAGGTACCCCCTCAGCAATGAAGTTGTACCAAACCAGCTAGATTCATAAAATATACATTGGTGCCTCCTCCATTACCTATTTTCACAACCCACCTAATAATTTTGAGATTTGATAAGTTTTCAAGTACATTGGCTGCAATATTAATGTCGGGTCGTCGTAGAAAAGGAAACTGACCTAAACATAGGGGGGCCTTCAATTTATATAGATATCTTTAGTAGTAATATGTAATGTCCAGCAGCCCGTTAGCATTTGTTTTTTGATTACTGGGCTTGGAGTACTTAATTAGGTGAGGGGCTGAGGGCCCATTTAATACTCCGTATATGAGTATATTATATAACCGTTTATATCATAATTGCCTTGCCTTTGCTGTAGGAGTAATTGCTGAGGGCCCATGTAATTGCCTCATTTTTTATTTTCGTCAAGGGCCACCAAAATCTCAGGGCCGGCCCTGTAACTGATACACCAAGCTGTCTGTGCGTACATTGAACAGTTATCCCCATGCCTTATTTTGACATGAAGCATCTCAATATATGAAAGCAGCTTCTTTTTTATTCTCAGTATACCAAATCTCTTCTTCAAGTC